TTATGTTTCATGAATTGTAATTGGTTGTTTGTAGAATTATACTTCGTTTTTTTTTTATTTCATTTTATTTAGTATTATTTATTATTTTGGAAAAATACTCCTAGTTTTAGTATTTTTTTTTATTTCTTTAATGAATAGATATCTTCAACTTTTTTGGTATTTTTACTTCAGTTTTTCCCCGAACTAGCTATTTTGCTTGATTGTTCACGTTCTCTTCTGTTTTGATTTATTTATTTGTTTTACTTTGATTTGAGTGATAATATATTTTATTTGTTTCATTCCTCTTCTAATGTTGCACGCATTTGTTGCACTTGCAGCTACCATCTTCAATGTTGCACACACACAACAGAATATTGCCAACATCTTAGGACTTATGCGAAACTAATCAAATTGGATAAAGGATATGTCTACTTACCCCCTTGATCGTCAATCTCTAGGCCAAATTCATCCTCCGACATAGACTCATCCTCGGAGCTTATGTTGGAGCCGCTGAGATTGCCCGTCTGTTGCTGTTGTTGTTGTTGTTGTTGAAGATGTTGCTGTTGCTGTTGTTGTTGCTGCTGCTGTTGTTGTTGTTGTTGTGTTGCATTGTTGCTGCTATTGTTGTTGGTTTTGGCGGCAGCACAGGAACTAGCCGCCAGCTCCTCGATGCTGTGCAGCGATCTTCGATTGGCAGTGCTTGTTGATGTTGCAGCTGTTGCAGTTGCAGTTGCTGCTGCTGTTGCTGTTGCAGTTGCAGTTGTTGTGTCAGCCAGGCCGTTGTTGGCAGCCACAACCGCATCCTTGTCGCTGCTGCTGGGCACCACCTCGAAGTCCAGCAGCTGGGCCGTTGTGGAGCCGAGAAAACCGGATGTGCTCACCACGGCCGCCGTTGCTCCGGCTCCGGCTCCGTTCTCCAACGGCTTCAGCTGATGATACTCGACCGAGCTGGTCTTCTGCAGCAGCAGCGGATCGATGCTGCTGAGTGTCTCGACGCTGGCCGTGTTCTGGTTGCTGTCGCTGTTGTTGTTGCTGCGATTGTTGTTGAACAGAATGTTGGCAAATGATGACATGGAGACGGATTCTAGTATAAGCGGCCCGTTGCCGCCGCTAGATGGCGCTGACCCTTTGCCATCCACATTGTTGTTGTTGTTGTTGTGATTGCTATTACTGTGCGGATTGGGACTGGCAAAGATGCGCTCGCAGAGTCCGCTCAAGGAGACGGCGCCATCCAATTGGCTGTTGTCGATGGCCTGCAATGAGCTAAAGCTCTCAACGGGCGGATTGGAATTGGAGTTGGGCAGCGCGTCCTTCTGCAGCTGGGCATAGTTAATGAATGGCAACATTGGTGTGCTGCCCGCGGCGAGCATCTGATCCTTATGATGATGTGGCAACACTGGCTGATGCTGTTGCTGCTGCTGCTGCTGCTGCTGTTGTTGTTGTTGCTGTTGCAGGTGCTGGTGATGATGATGGTGATGCTGATGCTGATGATGATGATTGTTGCTATCGTTGTTGTTGCTGGCCGCATAGTTGGCAATGCTGCTGCTGCTGCTCTCGGCCAGCAAAGGTACATTAAAGGTATCCATGTTAATACGTTGCGTAGTATTGTGATGTACTTTGACTTGTGTTGTTTTCTTTGTTTACAGTTATTAGTGATGCTTAAATTGTTGTTGCAGTTTGGCAGGTAGCTTTAGTAGTTGCAATTACTCACAAATTGTCTTCCAGCTGCAAAAAGGTCAAGCGAACAACAACCACGTTAGCAAAGTGTAAAACAGCAAATAGAAAAGAAAAAAAATAGATGTGACCGGAGGGAAAAAAGCTCAACAGGATATGAAGCTAAATATAAACGCAGCCCAATATTGTTCTATGAGAGTCAGTCCAGCAAAAGGGAATTTAGGTCAAGGTCAAGTTGTCGTATACCCACAACTTCGAAAAGCTTTAAAGCACTAACAGACGCGGCGCAGCTTTAAAAGCTTCGCTAATAAAATGGTGCATTATTGTTAAATCTTAACTTAAGATTCGAAATATTACAAATTATTGAATAATTACTTGGTTTTACTGTAAGTCGACCTTTCCTTTTTTACTACATAGCTATCAATTACTCTTTTCCCAGCTTTAAAGCCTAACTATGTTAAAAGAGTCAAATTTGTAAAGGTTCCAGTTACATTTACTCCAATTAGAATCCCAGCTTGCAGTTATGGCTTTTTCACCACTCACCAAATCCAATCAGCATTAATCTTTACAAATTTGCTGTTGCTTCCACTGCGCACGGCTTATTGGCAATTCCAGTGGTTGGCAATTCCAACTGGAAGGCCCTCAAGTAACTTGCACAGATCTTAATTAGCTACATTCAACCTAACCCTTGCCATCTTTGCGTCTTTCCCTGCGAAGTTGATGCCTAAAAAGCTCAGCCCAACTAGACAAAAGATCCGGGACAGTTGACAGGGGCGGACAGTGTAAGGGGCGTGCCAGAGCACAGAACGATGAAGCAAAAACGTACCTTTCATGCTAAATAAAATAGCAACAGCAGCTGCTACTGCTGCTGCTGCTGCTGCTGTTGCTGTGAAGTCGGCAGCGACAGCGACGCTGTAGCGCATGCGCCGCTACACCGACAGCGATCACAACAAAGACGCGCTGCTACTCCGGCGGCTCTTGGGGCGCTCGATTTGGTGTGCTTTTTCTTTTTGTCGTTCTTAAAACCAGTTGGGACCGAAAGCAAAAGTGCTATTATTGCTGTTGTTGTTGTCCCGTTTCGCCTGCCTTCTCTATTTGTTTGTACACTTCACACGGTTATTCGCACAAAGAAGAAGAACTATCGTGATTCATGTTGCCCCTGTAGCCCTGTTCCCGCTACGATCAGCACTGATGCAGTTTCCGCCTGCGCCAGCAGCAGCTGCGAAGTCGTCGTCGAAAGCTTTTTCAGCATATTTTTTATTTTATTTTATTTTTTTTTTTTTCGCAGCACTCACGCACACAGTTGCGCGCTCACTCTTATTATTATTATTGCTGTTGTTGTTGTTGCTGTTGCTGCTGCCGTCGCTAGTGTATGTTCTTATTATTTGCGCTGCGCCAATTCTCTTGCTATTTCTTTCTTTCTTTTTTTTTCGTTTTCGCTTTGCCTATTCGCTATTCGCTTTTAGTGTTGTCTTTCGCACATGGAATTTGTTTTTGCATGGCGGCAACGGTGGCGTCGGCGTCGGCGTTTGCTGCTTCCTCCTATGTATCAAAAACAGCAAATTTATTGCAATTATGCCGAGCCAGACGACGAAAACTTCTTGCACAACGACAACGAGACGACGAGAAAGACGAGCACGCGCAACAAGCGAAAAGCTCTTCCTACAAAAACAACAAATTGCAATTCCCTATTACACACGAACGAACACACATGAGAACAACGCGCACTTATGTATATACATACACTTATACACACACAATTACGACCATTTACTTGTTGTTGCTGTTGCTGTGGCTGGCTGGCAGGGGGCGCTCTACTAATTTTGTTGTTGTTTTAGCTGCTCTGCTCCAATTCTATGACAGAACAAAATATGTATGTGCATACATATAGTACGTAAACGTGTGCATACATATTTAGGTATGTGATAATTTTACAAAACTTGCACTACCGTTATTGCAACTTGCTTTAGCTGTGGCTGCTGCTCACGCATATACACATACACATTTTCATCTTGCTTTTAAGTTTTTAGTGGCTTTTGTTGTTATTGCTGTTCTCGAAATCGTAATGCTCACACTCACACCGTTTGGCTTTAAACTTCACTTTCCCTGCCGCCGACACACGCCACGCTATTTGAATATAGTTGCTTTTACTTTCTTTCTATTTGTTTATTCCGATTTTTTCGGGAAAACTATGCACAGCACACAACACACGCAAAAATTAGGTCTGTAGGCCAACACAAACGGGAACACAGTAAGAGTAGCAAAGTTGTTGGCGTAGGTAGAAGAAGAGGAAAGCACACACGCATACACACACACACACTCGCAAGTACGCAAAACACACACACACACATAGAGAGATAGACAGATCGAGTGCGACGCGGGGCCAAGGACGTGTAAAGGCAGGCAGCAGCAGCGACAGCGTCAAAAGTATTCTTGGCCTTTAAACGAGCATTTGAAGAACAAGGACGGCAATCATATGGCAAGCAGCGCCAGAAGCTTTGAGCTTAAAGCAATTTTGCACATCAAAGCAACTGTGTGCAAGGGCTGAATAGCTTTTTCCTCCAAACGCCAGCTATCGGGATAAATTTGACTTGTTAATAAGCGCCATCTATGAGAGCTTCCCTTTAACGGTTTCAAGTTTTACGGGCACTTTTGAATTATGTGGCGCAGTGTAAATTAGATTTTAAGTAAAAACAAAAGCAAAAATATTAAAAAGACCTTAAATTCTGGTCGATAATAATCTTTCAAAATCAGATATTTTTCTTATGGAATAACATCTGCTTAAACGGACTTTTTGTGCAAACTTCAAATATGAATTAATGCAAAATTCATTTACTTGACTTGGAGAAAATACTTTGCAATAAATAAGTTGAAAAGGATTTGATTTACGATCTTCGAAACACGAAAATTTAAAATATTTTATTGATAAGAAAATAGTTTGCATTTCCGTTTATTTTTGTTATTACAAATTACGTTTCTGTTTTATAAATATAATCATTGAACATTGTTGCCGTTTCTCATTTACAATACAATACACAATACACTTACAATTATATACATATATATATATCTATATATACATGTATATATTTATAGTTACATAAATTGCCAAAAAGTATTTTTAGCTATCTTTTAGTTGAATATGATCTTATTGTAGCTTCAATATTACATCAAAAAGTTACAAATCTATATGCAAAATTGATTTACGATAGATATAAATAACATATATTTGTAAGCATATGCACACTGGAGTGTTTTATCAATATAAATATATACACAAATATATACATATATATATGTATTTATGTATATATTCATATATGATTTTGTTTGTTATGTGTAATAATTTCATTTAAAAATACATAATACATAAATACACCTTTGTTGCTTTACTTAAGACTATTCTTTTATATTTTCGTTAATTAATATCTAAATTATTATTTTGTTTTGTTTTTGTTTTGTTTTTTTGCTAGCTTGTTTCGTTAAAAACCATAGATTACATTACACAATTAGGCCTAGGTATATTAGATTTCGATTAGCTGATTTATCGGGTGCTCTCCGACTGCCAAAACCTGGCATCGACCGATTTGCGTTGCTTTTTTCATACTTCTTGTTTGTCCTTCTCTCTTTTTTTTATAATATTCTGTCCTCTTTTTGAATGTGTGGGTATAGCACCTTTGTATCACTTTGCACTTAGTTCTAATTGTTTTTTTTTTTTTATAAAAGACTGTCTTCCAAAGACAAAGACGTAAAACTGACCACTAAAATTATCGGCTAAAATATATATATATATATATAAACTCTATACTATTAGTATTATTTATATATATATATATATGTAGACACACACTCTAATAGTTAGTGCATTATCATGTATTCTCTAATGCCTTAAAATTCACGACATACTCGTTCTAAAATTTCATTAAAATTGTTTTAACGCCCAACAAGTTCTTGACGCTGTCGTTGTATCTGATGAGCACAACCTTCGAGGAGCTGAACATGTTCAGCTTCTCGCCGGCGCACAGCAGCTGCAGGCACGTCGCCTGCTCCAGGAAGTCATCGATTTTGAACTCCCGCAGCAGCTGCTTCTGTGTGCTGGCCAGGGCCTGGCCATTCGGGCAGATCTGCGCAAAATAAAATCATATGTTAAATGGATTTGATTTGTCTGCCGAATTGATTGAGCAGCTTACCTTGTTAAGCAGCGTATCCTTTGATTTAACCTTAAGTAAATTGCACAAATCATTTAAGAGTACCCATTTATCACTGCCCTCGTCTTTGAGCAAGTACAGTGGTGGCAAGGGCACATCGGCCTCTTCAAATTTAAAAATATCACCGTTCAATTCGTCCGCCAACGTCTCTTCGTCCTCGTCATCATCATTATCATTATCGTTATCAATGCTATCAATGTGATCATTATGCTTCACATTCACATTCATATTTGTATTCATATTCAAATTGTCGTCCTCGTCTTGTGGTTCCCGTTTAACCTCATTGCCATTCACAACGCTCGTTACATTTTGCTCAACGTTAATATCATTGTTTTTGTTGTTGTTTGTATCCTCAAAGCCCGCACCCGGCTCCATTTTCACCGTAGTCGCTGTTGTTTCCGATTTTGTTGCTGTGCCTATTGTTGTTGCTGTTGCTGTTGTTGTTGTTGTTGTTGTTGTTGTTGTTATTGGTTTTGTAGCAGTCTTTGCGCTCATCTCCCCATTTTGTTTAACTGTCTCTTTACTCTCCTCACCACCTTCCCGTGCTAGTCCGTTCATATTGTTGTTGTTGTTGTTGTTGTGGTTGTTGCTGTTGTTGTTGGTACTGTGGGTCTTGGGCTTTGCCGGATTCTCGTTGTCGTCAGGTCCGCGTTCTTGCCTTCGCCTTCCTCTAGGTTGAGCTCTGCTCATATCACATGCTGTATTCGGTACATTATCGAATATATCAAAACCGTTTTCCTTCTTATCTATAACCATAAAAAACAAAACGATATTTTATTGATCTGTTACAGTGTATTGAAATAGTGTAATTACCAAATATCTGCCAGGGTCCCGGAAATCGCATTGGTTTTATGTCAGCGGCCGCACTTTGTGCATCGCTGAGGTGAGAGCTCAAGATGCCGCACATCAATTTGCTTGAAGCTAACATGAGTGGGGTTTGGCCTGGAAAAAGAGAGCGTTACGTTATTTCTTGAGCAAGTTAAGGGAGCGCAAGATTGGAAGAGAAAGGTAGGACGGGTAAGGAAAGATTGAAAGCGAAAGAAAGTACAATAACAGATAAGAGTTCTTTAGCCTTAATAAAGAGAGGCAGGTTGGAAGACAAAGGTAATGCAATAACAGATAAGAGATCTGTAGCTTTATTAAAGAGTAGCAGATTGTAAGGGAAAGATAAGAGACTATCGCTTTGCTAATGAGAGGATGATTGAAAGAGATACGTAATCCATAATGGAGGACTGAAGCTTAAGGTTATACAATAAAAGATAAAAGCTCTGTAGAAGTATTAAAGAGAGGTAGATAGAGAGGCAAATAACAAGTCTCCATCGCTTTGTTAAAGAGAGGAAGATTGGATTGTTAAGGAGAGGAAGATTAATATAGAAAGAGAACATATGGAGGTTCAACTCTAATTAATAACTAAGAGCACTTATCTTTCAGAAAATATCATAGATTTTACAGCTAGTTATTGGCCCTCATCTCACCTGAGTACGTTGCCAGCAACGGATCAGCGCCATAGGATAATAGTAGACGCACCACCTCCTCGTGGTCATTCTCGATGGCGCCGTGCAGTGGTCGAATGCCAGATTGGGCGGCTTCCGAGTGATTGGCACCGAACTGCAACAGAATCCGGGCAATCTCTAGCCAACCCTGGGTGCAGGCCTCGTGCAGCGGCGTATAGCCGGCATTGTCCTTCAGATCCGGATTCATGCCCATGCGATCCAGGCAATAGACAACCACATCAATGAGTCCCTGACGCGCCGCCTTGTGCATGGTGCTCTGGCCGACGCCCTTGTTGAGCACCCATTTCTGTATCTCCCGGTACACATCCATTTCGGTTTTGATCTTGATCGGCAAATGGGAGCTGCTGCCCGCTATGGTGCTGTCCGTATCATCGAGACGTTCATCAGCCGCCGCCGACTCCGCCGCGTCCATGGCCGCGAAGGAGGCGCCAAGACTGGGCGTCGCTTGCTCCCCGGCCGTGGCATTGGGCGTACTCGTGATGGTGGTGCTCGTGCTGGTGTTGTTGTGGTGATGCGTGGGTCTCTTCTTCTTGCGTATATAGTCAAAGCCGGAGCTGCCCTTGCGCCGCAGATACTTGCGCTTGTGCGGACAGTGTGCGGCAGTTGTGGCAATGCCGGGCGTATCAGTCTTCTTCTTGGACTCATCGTTGTGTCTGTGCCTGGCCAGCTTGTTATTGTCGGCGCTGACAATGCAATTCATTTGCTCTAGAAAGTCCTCGTACTGCTGGTAGCTCAACGTGGAGCCCTCACCCTCGCCCGCCGCCTGCTGCTGTGCACACTCCGGCGGCGCCGAGGCCGGACGCTCCGTGCCCACAAAGATCTCCCGTATGATCTCGCGGCGCTGCTGCAGCTTGGACTCCGTGCGCGTCTTGCTCTGCAGCACCTTCGTATCGAAGATGCTAAAGTGCCGCTTGCCCGTGCTGTCCTCCAGACTGTGCTCCGTCGTCTCCTGCAGCTGCTCGTACAGCGAATTCGAGGCGGAGGTCTGCGAGGCTTCGCTATAGTTCTGCAGACTCGTGGCGCAGTTGGACAGCTGCGAGGTGCCATTCTTGCTGAGTTGCTGGCTGCCATTGCTGGTGACGCGCAGATGCAGCACATCGATGATGGACTTGGGCGTCGCCTTCTGCTGCTGCTGTTGCTGCGATTGCTGTTGTTGCAGCTTGGAGCGCGGCTTGCGGCCTCGCGTGGACTTGAAGCAGGCCATTTCTTGCGTGAGATGACGCCCGCGCTCCAGATCCGGCAACGAGGCGGCCACGTGCGGCAGCTTGTTCAGCTTGTTGATGGAGATCAAGCGTTGGGGTATCTTCAGCGCCAGCTTATAGCGGTATTCCTCCAGAAATAGCTGCTGCTGCGGCGAGGGATTAGCTTTGCTGCTGTTGTTGTTGGTCGTCCCAGACTTGGTATTGCCCTTCAACTTGCGTCCATTCAGCTGGGCCAGATCGACGACCGAGTCACGCTTGTTGCGCAGCCGCGTGATCATCATTTCCTTCTTGGCATCGGGCACCAGTTTACGCACATATTTGCGCTTGATCTTTGTCGTTGAGTTCCGTATGATTTTCTCGTTGCGCAGAACCTTGCTGTTGGCCAGCTGCAGCTCCAGTTCCTTTTTCCGCTTGGATCTGGTCATGGTGTTTGGTGCGATGCGAGTTTTTAATGAGGTTTTTGGCTTGCGCTTGGCTTGATTCCCTTCTCTGGCGTCCTCTTCCTCTTCCTCGTCGTCGTCATCCTCTTCGTCCTCTTCATCCTCATCGTCTTGCTCCTCCTGCTGCTGTTGCTGCTCCTCATCGCTATTGCTGGCCTTGCTCGAGCTGCTCTTCTCATCCTGCTCCAGCTCCTGTTCCTGCTCCTTCTCGCGTTGCTTTTCGCCCATCTTCTTTTTGCACTTTCCACTTGTATATTGCACTTTGTTTTCCTTAGCCGTGGCTATCCTCGTCTTCTTCACCAGGTTCTTCATGCAGCTCTTTGCCTCGCTTGAACTGTTGGCTCCGTCCTGCTCCTGCTCCTCGTCGCTGCTCTGCTGCTCCCGCTGCTGCAGTTGCTTCTCCTTTTCGTCTGTGCGACGCGGTTTGCCCTTGCGCATCAGCGGCTTCTTCTGCCTGGCCGTCTTGCGCTTGTGCAGCTCCGTGGTGTCGCTCTCGGAGCTGCTGCTCTGGCCCGCCGTTGGGGCCAGACGTGCCGCAATGCGCTGCTCCTGCATCAGTCGCTTCTTCTCGCGGTCCGACTTGCTCATCTTCTTCTGGGCTCCGCCGAACACGTTGCCATTTGTGGTCGTCGTATTGGTCACCTGTGTGGTTGTTGTTGCCGCCGACTCGGCATCCGCCGGCAACGGCTGACGCTTGAGTATGCGCGCCACGGGCAGATCATCCTCGCTCAGCTCCAGCTTGATGCGGCTGGTGGGCAGAATGGCAGACGCAACGCTTTCGTTGGCTGACGTCGCTAATTGGACGGAGTTTGTCTTGACGGGCATCACTTTGGTCAGCAGCTGCTCGACGAGATTGTTGCAGGTGCTGCCCCAGTCCAGGAGGCTGTTGCTGTTGAAGCTCGTCGCGCTGGCATCCTCCAGTTCGAGCTCAGGCGTGGGCGCCGGCTCCAATTTGATTTGTATGTGATTTGTCTGCTGACTGGGATGTGGCGCAGATGGTAGAGCAGCTGCTGGAGCTGCTGTGGATTCAGCAGCTCCAGTTGGTGCAACGGGAGTCGTTGTTGTTGTCGAGCTAGCAAGAGCCAGCACCGGCGGCGTGAAAGTGAATCCTTTCAGCTCCGCCTTGGTGCGTATGCGTGGCTCCGTCTTCGGCACCAGCATCGGTTCCTGTTTGGGCTGTGGACATACGATGATGCGGCTACCCGACGTCTGCTCCAACCTCTTAGCGACCGCGGCCTGCTCATTGACGGCTATGACCGGCACAGAGGCGGCGACCATGCCAGTTGCTGGAGGCGCTTCCAGCCGGGTTTGCTTGGCTGCCGCCGCAGCTGTTGCCGCAGCAGCTGCTGCCGCCGCCGCAGCCGTCGCCTGATTGTACTCCTGCAGATGCCGCTTGCGGCCCAGATAGTTGGGGTTGCTGCTGTTGTGGGCACTCGCTGTGCCCGCCGTGCTCGTGCCTGCTTCGGTTGTGCTGGGCGTGGGCAACGGCCTGATGCTCGTCTCAGGTGGCAGTTGCGGTCGCTTGGCAAAGGGATTCGTTTCCAGCACGCTTGGACGCAGCTGCTGCGCCGCCTTGATCAGCATGGGCGTGGCCTCAGGTGAGGCAGCCACGGCAGCTGCCGCCGCCGCAGCGGTGCTCGCCGGCGCCTGGCGTATCACAGCCGTCGCCGCTGCCGGCGTGCCGGGCGCAGTTCGGTTGCTGCGCGCAAAGTTTGGCGTTATATCAAAGCGAGGCAGACCCAGACCTGTGCCCGGCACCTGTGGCGTGGCCGTGGCCGTCGACTCCGTCAGCGTGCGCTGATATTTGTAGTCTGTGGAGTCGGCGGTCTGTTTGATTGTGCGCATGGACAGGTCCAGCGGTGAGTGGGCGGCAGGCGGGTTGGGCAACGGCAACGGCATAGGCTGCGGCTGCACCTGTGGCAGTGGCACCTGTTGTATAACGGGCGCAGGTAAAGAAGGAACTGTAATTGTGACTGGCGAGTGGCGGGCGGAAGTTGCGGCTAGACGACTTTCCGCCGTCTCCATTTTCAGCGTCTTCTTGATAATCTGCAGATTGAGCTCCTGCTCGCTGGCCGTGTTGCGCTTGAGCATGTCGTTGATCAGCGCCCGATAGTTGGGCTTCACGGTGGCAGCGCTCTTCTTGGCAGCCGACGGCAGAGCTGATTTGGCAGTCACCGACGGCGGCGGCGGCTGGCAGCAGATGTCCGGCCCGTGCGGATACACCTGCAGCGTGGAGTAATTCGAGGCGGTTGCTGTGCCGCTCGTGGGCGGCGGCGTGTGATTGTACAGCTGCTGGGCCGGCGTGGGCGAGGCCACCTGGGCAGCGGCCGGGGACGGCGTGCCATGATGATAATACGAGGCATAGCTGGGCGTCGAGCTAAAGGAACTGCGTCTTTGTACGTCTGCGGACAATGGAAGCGGCGGCGGCGGCGGCGCCGTTGCCGTCGGCGTGCCATGCTGCTGCTGCGGCAATAGCTTGCCGTACTTGGTGGGATAGGCATGCGCCAGGGCAGGCGACGGATCACGTGAACTGACCGCAACACCCACGGCCGACGACTGCTCCTGCTCCAGACGGGAGGCCGGATTGCTGTAGGGATTATGATAGAGCGATGCACGCGTCAGAGCTGGCGGCTCTGGCTCCAATTTGGCGCTTGCAACGCTGCTGCTGCTGCCGCTGCCGCTGCCACCTGTTGCAGCATAATAATTGACTGTGGGCCGTGGGAAGCTGGCGCCTGTGCGTCTGTAATCCAAATTGGGCGCCGGCGCCGTCTCTCGCACATACTTTTCAATGGCATTGTGCACGGTATTTTGAAAATTCGGTGGCATGTACAGACTCTGATGCTGCTGCTGCGGTTGTTGTGGAGGCTGTGCAGGCTGCGCAGGCGTCAGATGATGATTGATGGTTGAAGGTGCCGCAGCGCTGCGCTGCTCGGTTGGCGGCTCGTAGTGTTGCGGACACTTGCGCGCATAGTTGGGACTAGGCTGCTGATCCGTGGTGCCCAGCAACGCGTTGCTGGGATTCACCACATGATCCATTGGCTCGTAGCGAGCGGCTGCCTCGGGCGCATAGCCGACCAGCTTGGCACCCGCAACTGTCGCCGAGTATTTACCGCTGTCCTCGTAGTAGCGCTGGCTTCCATTCCCGCTCCCGCTGCTGCTGATTGCACTTGTGCCATGCGACTTGCCGTAGCCCAAACGCGGCTGCTGCTGCGGATGCACCAAGTGCGACTGCGACTGCTGCTGCGGCTGCTGCTTCTCATCCTGCGGCGGCCAGTAGGGCGCGTTGTAGAGCGTGCTGCTGTGGTGGCGCGGCACGGGCGCAGCGCCAGTTGGCTGGCTGGAGGCACCGACATGCACCGTCTTGTACTGCCAGCAGGGATGTGGAGGTGTCGCCTCGACGGACCTCTTGCCGACACTCAGTTCGCGGTTGGAGGTGTAATATTGCAAATGAGGATCGCCACCAGATGTCGAGGCAGCAGCACCTGTTGGCGGCATAACAGATGCTGCTGCTCCACCAGCAGCACCGCTAGCACCACCTCCACCTCCACCTCCGGCACGTCCACCCATCACATAAATGGCGGCACGGGAGCGTTCCGCATCCGCTGGCTGTGCGCTGTGGTAATTGATTGACTGTTGACTCGGTTGGTAATGCGGATGAGGTGGCAGGTGTTGCTGCTGCTGTTGTTGTTGTTGTTGTGGTGCTGCTGCAGGTGGTTGTTGTTGTTGCTGTTGTTGCTGCTGTTGTTGGTGGTGTATGTGGTTATGCACCGCATGTTGTGGATACGCATGCGCATGCTGATGCTGCAGGTGCTGCAGTGGGTGGGGAGTTTGATGATGATGCGTTTGATATTCGTTATGCCTGTTCGGGTCCATTGTAACTGTAATAATAATAAATAAACGATTTTGAATTACAAATCGTATCATATGCCAAAAACATGATAAAAGGAAGTACACTAATTATTATTATTATTATAGCTTTTGCAAGCTAATTAAATGAAATTTCAATCACCAGCTCAACGTTTGCTTAAAGAATATGCCAGAAACTAAATCAAAACGTTAAAAATAAATGTAAGTTTCCGGTTTTGCTTGAACCTAAAGCTCTGCTTAATGTTGGCTTTGCATCAACAATTTCACGTATTATCATTGAACAACCTTCTTTTCTTCAGAAATCCACATACTTATAATAATGAGAACTACCCCTATGAAACGAAATTTATGTGAAACCAGCAGAAAATACAAATTGCCTTATTTGAACAATTGGACGTACATTTCAACTTGTTTAGCTGCTTATGTTCAATATATTATTATTTTATTAAGGTTAACATTGTTGATATATATAAATATATACATCCCAGGCACCTTGACAAACCGATTATACCCTATAATAATCTAACAAATATAAAGAAATATTCAATTATGCTAGTATTAAGGTGTTCTACATAAAATCATTAAAATCGCATTAGTTTAAGTAGCCCAACTAAAGGAAACCAAAACAAAAGAAAGCAAATGGAAAAAAAAACAACAATTAAAGCGAGTTTAGATAAAGGCATAATAAGTTGCGATAGTCAAAGTCCATGCAACATGATGCCCCATTTAGTTGCTAATACTGGGCTTATATTTAAAGCTGTCATTAACTAGTTAATGGGCAGGTGAAAATAAAATTAATGAATACAATCCCAACTAGCAACAACAAAAACTCACGTGTTACTGATAAGACTAGATATGAAAAGTAAACAAAACTTGAAATGGAAATAAACACACACACACACACACACACACAAGCATATACACTTACTGTAAAAAATATTGTGCCTAGATAAAACATCTGCGTGCCGAACGCTTTTTACAGTGCAACCAAAAACAACAGGCAGAATGTTTAGAGATTTAATGTTAAATTGGTGCACTTAACAGTGTGTTAACATTTTATTTACATTTGGGCTATTCACAGTTCCCTATGCAAATCTGCTAAAGTAAACATTTACCGTAAATTGTATTTTGTAAGTATGTCAGAGAAGTTTAGTATATACTGATTCTTCTTCATCTTCTTATTGTTTTTGTTTGGCAATCGAATGTCAAATCGATGAAAAATGTCTAAAAAGGTTCAAATGTAATGTAATGTATTTTCCAACACAATCCGTGCAGATCAACATTAATTATTTTATAAAAAATGTATATATGCATTGTTCAACAACAACAACCGTTTTCTCGTTAAACTTCCTCAGCAACTACAGTTCCAAACATTTGTATACATATGTTCATATGTATGTATGTATGTATGTACTTATGTATGTACAACTATGTAACGCAATCAAGTCTGTTATTGCAACCACAAATTAGCTTCAAGACAAGAATATATGTATGTATGTATATTGCGAATGAGCATTTTTATGATGCGCCGCTTGTATTTTGTAGAAATTTCAATTGCTTGCACTGTAAACAAACAAATAATTGATAATCAAACGAAAAGCAATTACATTTAATACGAAGAAAAGCAACTTCGTTGCCCTCAAAAGCCAAAAGCGCAGCGCAGTCAGCGAAGAAACTGCGGCAGAGTTGTGGGATGTCGATTGTAGAGGTCAAGGCCTAATATACCCATACATGCATACATGCAATACAAACATTCGACGACTCTCGTGTGTGTGTGTGTGTGTGTGTGCTGCCATTGCCGCTAGCAAAAGTGTAAATAAATTGTGACGCATTTTTGTTGTTGTTATTGCAAGTAATATAAATAAGTATATGCATGCACATGCGTGTGTGTGTGTGTGTGTGTGTGTGCATGTTTGTATATTTGTGCATACATGTGCACAATGTGTGAACGATGTTGCGTCGTCGCGACGTACGAACGAAACAAAACGGAATGAAATGAAACGGAACGGAACGGAACAATGCCGCGCACAATATTTAGCGGCGACGTAAGAGCACAACGAACTTTTGCGAAATGTGAAATTGTTAAATTAAAAAAAAAAACAGAAAACCAGAGCAAAAACAATAAATAAGAAAACAGCAACATGAGTCAAATTAAAATGCTAAATAAATGTATAAAAAAAACAAGTATAAAACTTAATAAGCGGCATTCACTAAACCCTAATTTAATACGCTTGCACTAAATAATATAATATTTTCATCAAATGTGAAATGTTTAGACGAAGCCGAGAACTTGTTATAGCATATGTATTCTCGATCCGTATGAATAGCTTACAGATATAGACATTTCCCTTTTTTAGTTTTAAAGTTGTTGCTAGAAAAATTTTGGATGGAATTTCGATAACTACTCTACAAATCGAAAAAGAATAGGAAACTGAGCTTTCGTTTAAAAATTACAAATCAACAATATTTACCTTTGTGACTTATAGTCCAATGATTTTGGAACACCTATTGAAAATATTGACCACATTCAGCATCTGTAAATAAACATTTACTTGATTAATTTGGGGAAAACACAAAACACTTTGCTTGGAAAAACACGCAATTTTATTAATTACAGTCAAAGCCCGTCTAAAATATATGTATCACTATGCTCTTGTATATATAAAACTTGTCATAGGTTAATCGTAGATCCTTGGATAAAGGTAAAAACATTTAAAAATGTGGGAAATGTCAAATATATTCTGAAAAATGCAGATGAATTTAATAAACATTGTAAAGTAGATGTTGGCAATAATTTTTCATTGCTTGAACTAAAACCGGAATATATAGAATTTGAAACAGCTCTCGCAATTCTTGAACGGAATCGAAATTGGGAAGAGGAACTATATTTTCTAAATTTTGGCAGACAAAGAAACTAAATTAATCCATAGAAGTCAAAAGTTGACAAAAGTTAAGAGTAAAGATTTATGTAAGTAGATTTTTTACCTCGAAATATATGGAAAAATGTTTTGAATGAGTGAAAATGATTCTAAGATTTGGTATGCAAATAAACTAAATTGAATTTCTAGCTGCACTTCCATTACATTATCTCTTACAACTAATGCCATTTTGAGGCCAAGCAGGCCAGATTTACAGTTAAATTTGCGTTGGTCAGTAAAATGATAAGCCACTAATTGCAACTCAAATCGATAATGGGCATGTATTTACCAAATGCATTTGTATAATACAAAAAAAAAATAAAAAAAACATGTGTACAAAATGTTCTTTATTATTGTAAGATAAACATTTTTAAAAGCAACACAAATAACAACAATAACAACACAAAGACCGAACTTTTGTAACGCCAACAAAGCCAAATTAAGCTGAGCAACGACGACGTCGACGTCGACGTCGACGATGACGCTAACGATCAGCGACGGAGCAGTTGCCGCTGCTTTTGTTTTTGTTTCTGTTTTCGTTATTGTCGTTTATTCGCCTTTGGGGGCCAACGGCACATGAACGGAACACAACGAAACGTTAGCGCAGCGCAGTCAACGTTGATTTCACGGCAGTAGCTGTAGAATTTATGTCGTCGCTGCGGCGCGCAAATGTTGTAATACGCTCGCGGCAGACGATGAGACGAACGTACAGAACTTGCTTGTTAATCTATTTGCTCTTTTTTTCTCTTCCCTTCTCCCTCTCTCTCTCTCTCGCTTTGTCCCTTTTAACCGCGCGCGCTCTATCATACCAAATCGATGCTTTGCACTCAAGTGTTCTGTAAAGCATTACATATGTTATTTGTGACAGGCTGTTAAACAGCACGTTGTCAAAATATTGATTGTTACATCATATCGTATCACAAAATGCCATAAATAATTACGGTATCACTTATCAGAAATATGCACCATATTTATTAGGTAAGGCAAAACTGATCAGCTTTACTCTAACGCTTAAGAGTAAGTACTTTGCAATTGGGGCCAACCGACTTTGCTCTGTTAACAGTATGTTAACTGCCAAAAACAGGGGGAAATATTCTTAATAACTGAGTTGATGAATCTGAAACTGTACGCCCATGGCATTGACTCTCAAACTGTCAAACTGTTAGGAAACAGGAGGAAAATCAAGCAAGCACATTTTATGGATGAGAATTTTCTTTAAAAAACCCAATCTGACATTTTTCTAAAATGCTCTCGAAATAGCAGAGCTCCTTTTTCGGAGTGGGATAATTTAAGATATCTTTCAGAGTGTGAAATGGAAAGTGTATTAAATGGAAGGCTTACAAATCTGAACATGCTTAATTATGTTAATAACATAATGTTCCAGTTGTTATACCCTGTTCGCAGAGTGAAAACATGGATATTATTGCAACTGAGCCACATCCGACTAGCAACTGCGTCTGACCACAATATTATGCACACCGATAAAAGTATTTCCCCGTCAGATAATGCAGCTAAGAGACAAGGCTAACAAGATGTCGGCAAACCGCAAAGATATATCCCATTACACAAAGTTATAAAGCTAGATTCTCTTGAAACTAGACTACAGATGACTTTCTCTTAGAATTTGGCCATAACTAACTATAAAAAATAGAATTATTTCAATCAACAAGTTGACAGCTTTTGATTCTATTTATTCAGTTAACAAAAAAATGATTCAAATTTAACATTAGCAACCTTTTAGGTAATCAACATTCTTTTTTTTATTTATTTGGGCAGGTGAAAAACTTGAAATTAACTTAATTGAATCTGTTTAAAGTCTGAAATGTGTGTTGAGGGGTCATTGCCATTTCTGTGAAATATGCCAGCCGAAATCTGAGCTCTAGTTCCGCAACTTTGGCTTACCGCTCCCCTCTGCTTCACCCTGCCCCCCTCCTCGTCAAGGCAATCATTAACAGATACTACGAATAGACTTAAAAGAGCTAAACGTAATAAAAATAAAACATTTTTGATGACAAACGTAATTTGCTTTGAAAGTATTTTCATTTTGGTAAAATGATCGGCAAACAATCAAAAGCATGATTCATTGGAATTATTCATAAAATTAATGAACTTTTTAAATTGTAATTCTTATTACTATGAATTTTCTTCTTTTTTTTTGGCCAGTCAGCAAATGAGTTAAGACTTGGATTGTTAACATGCACAAAAAGAGAAACTAACTTTTATAGTTTTTTAATAATATAAAACTTGACTGAACTGTGAAAGTTTGTTCTAGTTCGATTTTGTGAACTGGTTCCGCCTGCTCAGAAAACGCCCTCTGATATATTTATGTGAACACTTTTCGAAAATAGCTAAAATCTTGACTAAAGATATCCGAAAGTTCAAGCTCTTTTCGAGCAGATATATATATATGCTATATACTATAAATAAATCCAACCTGCATATTGTATCTATGTGCATGCATATTTATATATATATATATATATACTTATATGTATTTAAGTGGCAAAGTTTGTTGCCAACTCACGATATAAGCAAACAGTTCTTTAGTTCTATTGTGTTTCGAAACAAACCGGTTGCTGGAACGCTGCTTTAAGCTTTAACAAGGCAAAAACTGAGCTACAGAAACCGTTTAAGCGCGCACTAAAGAATTAAGGGGCTTAGAGCTGGCACCGTGTCTTCGTGTCTTTCGCTCGTGACACGCAGATGCAGATACAGATACAGATACGCGGACAGATGCATATACTGTGCAAGGCACAGATAGAGATACGAATTCAGTTTAAGATACAGGCACAGATACAGATACAAAGTTCCCATTAGAGATGATTTATCGAATATTGTCATTTATACATATGTTACCAACAACACATACTTGCTAATGGAATCGCAGAATGTGAAATTTGTAAATGTAACAAATGTTAAGCATAATGGTATCTGGCTTTAACCTACTTATAAAGCTAACTGCAAAATGACTTGCGTTTCGTGTTTTCATCGTGTTCAGCTGAGACACGGACTCATCTCTAATGTGCATATAGATAAAGACAGCAGAGAGAGGGAGAGAGAGAGAGATAGGTGAACATACATAACTTGAGCCTAAATAATTATCAGCCCCAACGAATCGCGCACAGCTGTACAGTAAAATTCTAAACAATTATCAGTTTTGAGTTTTTCAGCTCTCACTTTTGTGGACGGCAAACAAACAACAAAACCAACACACAGACAGCGACAGGCACACAAACACACAAATACACACACACACACTTGCACATGCAGAGATTATAAAATCGCTGGGCAAACATTGTCAGCACTTCTTCTATTTTTGTACCCTTGAAGAGGGGGCATTATAACTGTAACACAAATTATGTTAGGCATCAAATGGGACATATTCTACGAGGAAAAAGATGTTCTAGATATGAAATATATGTGTGAAATTTATGTATATAGTTTCTAAGACTTTTCTCGTACTACTAATCTCTCATAGGAAGGTATTTTGTCAAATGTGTAAGAAATATCATGAAGAGAAAAACTACCATTACATTTTATGATTGCTTTAGAAAAGATCTGATAAAAATTGACTTAACCTTAGTTGGCAGGAATTAAGCGGAACGAATATTAATAAATCAATAAGAAATATATTTATAAAAGATCTAACAAGAAATGAAGTAAACTCAGTTGGCAGGAGTTCATAAGAAGGAATATTCAGAGATATATATAAAATAAATATCTTGAAAAAGCTGCTACTACGAGATTTGACAAGAAATGAATTGAACTTAATGGGCAGGGAAATATTGATTTGCCAATGGGAAGGAATATTGGGAAATGGGCAGAAATCAGTCACAAATACAGGAATTGTTTGGAGTATCATTTTCTATGCTTCTCAAACTTATTTAAGCTTCAGCAATTTGAAGTTTTGCGCATTTGAGATTCCTCCAATTTAATGATAAGGTAGGTTAGGCTAACTTTTGCTTGAGCTAAATTTGATTTTGAAAAACTAAGCAAAAGCCAAAATGCAAGCCTGAAAGAAATAAAGAAAGTCTTCTATTGTATAATATATTTAAGGCAAATAAGCTAGACTAGATAACTCTGTATATTTTAAAGCACAGCTCGCTTAAGGCATAAGTGATTTTATAGATAGATATAGATAATCACGCAATAGATATGCCTGGGAATTTGTCCTTTACACCTGCCACAATTAGTTCAATGTTTGGGTGTAAGAACAAGACGTTATTTGCCTTTCGCTTGCTTATCTCTAGGTTTGTGTCTTTACTTATCTGTTCTGTTATAGATTTGTATTTTCTATGTAGGTTACGACATAAAGATTGAGCATTCGAATTGAATTATTATTGATCTTGTTCAGGAGCCGATCTGTTGTAAACTAAGAAAGAAACATTACGAAACATTTGTTGCGATTTGCTCAACTTATTGTTTGGATTATATACAAATATTTCATTCAGTTAACATGTTAACATGTTCCCAAGTAAAAGATGAGAAAAGGATATTTTTTACAAAAGAATATGTAAAATTTTGTGTAGATTTAAAAAATAAAACTCTCTCCAGCTATTTGCAATGGGTTCAATATACTCCCAGTATGACAATTAGCTCAAGTACAAGTACAAAAAAAAGGGGGAACAGAAACTGTTATTAAAGTAAGGTACTTTAAGTCTTAACCGTAATTTGGTAACCAAGCAAATTGAAGTCAATTGATGCAGAAAATTGTATGCATATACATATGCATATATATACATATACATATACATACACACAAACATACATATACATACACATATGTTGATGGCAGCAAGGTTAAAACATCACGTTTCTCCGTACGAGCAAAGGAAAGGTTTATCGAAAAATAGATCAGCAGGTGTCAACGTTGCCAAATACATATATTAAAGCCCAAGCATAAAGTAAGCTGCGGCTTAAACCCTCCCTTTTGGCTGTCGTTCTCTTGACATTAGCCAAAGAGCTTTAATTAAAGCGCGCGTCCATTAAATTTGCACAAAAAACAAATTGTCTGTTGTTTGCACAGTTTGAGGTGAGACGTGTTCGAAATTTATTAAAAAAAAAAAAAAAACAAAAACAAAACAAATAAAATTAAAGGCACACACTGAAAAAACCAACAACTCACCTCCAATAATTTAAATTGAAACGCAGCGCGCGCTTGTTGGAGCCCTTGAAAATATGCTCAATTGTAAAGCTGAGTGGCAGAGCCGGACGCTGCCTTTGTTCCCTGCAGCCACCCCTTGGGTGCTGCTGCTGCTGTGCTGCTGCTGTGCTGCTGCTGCGCTGCCGCCGCTGCTGCTGTTGGTTGAGCGTGTGTGCGTGTGACGTTGACACCCACGCGTGTTGCTTTTGTTGCGCTCTTTGAAAAGACTTTTACTGTTATTTCACGTTGCGTTCACGTTTTGTGTAATTGTTTGGTACCGTTAATGGGGTTGTTTGTTGTTGTTGTTGCTGTTGTTGTTTTAATTCCTTTTAGTATTGCTTTTCACTTTGTTGTTTTACTATTTCTCTTACACACAGTTTGAAGACACCACGCACACACACGTGTGTACTTACACACACACACACACACACGCTGGTAATACACGTACAAATTTCTCGCACAGCAACTTTTTAGTTGTTGCTGCTCTTGTTGTTGTTGTTGTTGTTGTCGTTATTTCTTTCAACATTAAAATATACATGCACATACATACATACATGTGTGTGTATGTGTATATAAAAACCAGTATTTGCCTTCTTTCACTTATTTCAAGAAATTGTTGAATAACGGTTTCGAATTGGTATTGCGTGTTGTTGTTGTTGCTTTAATAAATTTCACTTTGCTTTCTCGTGCTGCTATGTTAGTCGTTGTTGTTGTTGTTGCTGCTGTTGTTTTTGTTATTGTTGCACACATAGTTGATACACACACACAAGCACGCACTTTGCAAAATACAGGGTGAATGCATATGTATATACACGGCTCAGTATCTTTTTGTGAAATTTTTGCCCTGATAAACCTGTCCTGCAGAGCCGACGTCGCAGCGCGTCGTCAGCGGTTGCCTCTTCGTGTACATTTGCTTCACTTATGCACCGCTACTGAGAATAATAGAAAGAAAGAGAGAGAGAGCGAGGGAGAGATACACCTAAGTATTATTAAAATATGTTTATTTTGCACTAAATTTCAATTTGCATTTTGTATGCATTTATCAGGCAATCAGCAAGCGAGCAACACATCATCTTCACATCAGCTGCAGGCGTCTCTATAGTATAATTAACGACGGCGCAAATATTCCAAAATAAAAAAAAAAAGTATGTTGATTTTATGGTTGTTGTTGTTGTTGTTTTAGGCAACGTTCATTGCCACTCACACACGCGCACTGATACACATACATACATACAGGCAACGAGACAGCAAACACACACAGACACCGCTATGTAGCGATGTCGCAGTCGCAGTCGACGTCGACGTTGACGTTGACTTCGCCGTGTAGGGGGGCAACGATGTTTCGTTTGAAGGGAACTTCATTTCTACACTTTAGGCGCCCCCGCAGACGCTTCTTGCAAACGAAACAAAGACAATTTCACTTGTCTCGCAAAATGTGCGCAGCGACACAACATTTTATAGATATATACAAATATAAAGATATAGATAGATATATACATATACATATATATATATATATATATATTTATTCAAACAAACACACAGAGAAACATGCATACGATGTGCGTTTGAATGTCAAAATTCAAATTTTTTTAAGACTTTTGATTTAAATCATTTACACGCACACACACACGTACACAAATAGGCTGACACAATTACAAATTGTCGGTCGCTGAGTTTTCTACTTTTTTGATACTTCTTTTTTGTATTTTACACGCACACACACTCACATTTTTATTATAATACACTGCACACACACACACACACACACACACACACAAACACACACACTACGGTTTGTTGTTGTTGTAGTTGCTGCTGCTGCTGTTGCTTGCTTTGCTGTTTTTTGTTGTTGTTGGCCTACTTTGTGTGTGGGGAATTTTGTTGTAGTTGTGTTGTTGCTCAGCTTCTCCTTTTGCAGCAAAGAAACGTAGAGGCGAGACAGACTGAGACTGCCTCTGCTGACTGCTACGTCGTTGTTGAAAATTTTCACACGCGCCGTTTTTTTATGTGTCTTTTTACGTAAAAAGCTACTTTTACGAAAGTGCCATTGAATTTGGATTGCACTTGCATTTAAATTGGATGCTTATTATTTATGTAAATGTGTTGCACTATATTATTGGTATATATATATAATCGCTTTTGCTATATATACTATGTATATATTTGAGATTGTTATAAAAAGAAATCACTACTACTTCAAAAATCGAGAGAGACGAAGGCAAACGAACGTATGAAGAATGAATGACTGAGAAAGTGACTACAAAAATACGTAGGCCTGCCAACCGTCGAATTAAACGCGAGCTGCCAACGCAAGCAAATACAGCGAACTAAAGAGCCCATCGCCAAAATATCGCACGACTAACAGACGATATTGGTTGTATATCGCCCGACCGCCACAAAATATAACATGAAATGTTCGTTAACATTCTGTTACCAACTGTTGGTCTATTTTGGCATTTATTCTATTTGAGCATGAACGGTTTAGCAACAATTTAGGGTAAGGCAAACAACAAATTAATTAGAAAGCTTCTATAGAAGTACAATTGTTTAAAGCAAAGAATGTATTTGGACTTTTGCATGTTCCTACAAGTTTACATACTCAACATTTGGGATTTTCGTGCTGACGGCGTGCGGCCACACAGAAAACTGTAAATGTCAGACCGCCTATAAAAGCAATGAGCACTGCGTTCTACGTGTTTTAGTTAACAAAATTAGCCGCAAATCAGCGACAACGCGTTAAACTTTTCAGTGTACAGCATTCTCAAAATTTCTGGTTATAGAAGGAAATTGAATAAGGCTGAAAAATGGCTACTCGCGATGCCGCTTCGAATCAACTGCTTGAATACAAGAACTCGCAAAAGGTGAGTAGAAAATAAAGCCAAAGGTTCAAAAGATAACAGCAGAATAACAGCAGGAATTTCAACGTTTTTCTTTAACAATAAAATAGCAGCGCAGTTTGCAGCGATCGAATACGCTCGCAGAGCCAAAGTTCAACAGCAATGCACTGTTGTTTTGTTTCTCTTGCCTAGTGCTGCTCTCCTCGCTCTCGCTCTCTCTCACTCTCTCTCTCTCTCTCACTCGTTCTTGTACATGGGTTGGGTGTGTGGGGCGTAGGGTGTTCGCTTTTCGTTTCTCTCGAGAAAATATATAATATATTAATTATATCTATTTTGCGCCAGCAGTCACGACTTTAATTTGTTTATTATTTTTTTGTATTTTTGCTGCTGTCTTTTTTTTTTGGCTTGGAGTTGTAGGATTCAAGATACCCTGTAAATATAGGAACCAAAGTGCCTGCCTCCTTAAACGCAAGGAATCCTAACTAAAAAATTAGGGTATCTTTTGAATACCAGTATATACTGGGAATTTTCCTACTTGGAATCCTCGTCCTTTTGCCGCCTTTATTCATTTTCTGTATTCCGAATCTTAATTAGATTATGCCAACAATTTTGCCTACAAACAGTGAACATTCTTATTTATTTATAAATCCATACTCAATCTTATCGTCACGGTTGTGATAACGCTTATCAGCCCATATAATAGTTGCATAGTTCCAATTGTACCTAATCCAAAGGCCTCTCCAGTCATTTTATAGACCTGCCCAAGAGTTGCCTTCGCCCAGCCCAAAAACTTGACTTGTCATTGGATGATAAACTATTTTGTACTTTTTATATTTGTTTAAAATTTGCTTTCGATTTTGTTTTGTGAACTGTTGTTATGAATGGGTGGCGGGGGCAATATTGAACCATGATGTTCTAGGCGGAGAAGCCATAAAGCCATGCTCCATAAAGTATTCGATTCTTGGGAGAATAACTTGGGAGATTATATATAAGGGATTATATAGTAGGAGTCTGTCGTATCAGTGCACTATATTATATAGATGACATGACTAAATACTTCAGTTTTGGGTTTTAAGGAGTTGGCTGATTAAAGATACCCTGTAATTCCTTTGTACTCTTTCGAGTTCTTGATATTGACAATTAGTTTAACTTTATTTCCCTTTAATCTTTCGATATTGTGTTTTTGTATTAGAAGAGTTTTGATTAGCCAAATTTCTATAGGTATATATATGCCTCACATCTGCTTGTTCAGATATATATATGCTCCACATCCGCTTGCCTTTACACTTATGTATATATATATATTTATATAAATAATATCCTTATCTATTTCTTGCATATGTGCGCATTTGCCTCGAGTTCCCATATCCATTATCAATTTGTATCAGGCATTATTTTAGTTGCGCTTTTTAATCGCAAGATAATCATAACTAATTTATAGTCGATGGCAACCTCCCTCCTTCCCCCCTTCCCCCCTTCCCCTGAGGCCCAATCAGCAATTCAAATCCATGTATATATACTTATATATACATATATATATCTGTGGGTGTGTTCTATGGGCTTTGCCACACATAATTTAGCTAATTAACCTTGGCTTGAATGCAATTAGAAAATTGAATTTCTGCTTCAATACACACGCAATGCAATAAATTGCTCAACTTTTAATTATTTAGTTAATTATGATAGTTAATATGCAACAAGTTGCACAAAGCAACTCGTCGAAGCGGGGCCTTCGCAAAGCAGAGCTTGTTAATCAATGAGTTTTTTCTTCTTCTTAAATGAAACTTTTGTTGCCTTAAGTCAATGCACTTTCTCGAGTTGCATAAACTGGTTGCAAGCATTGGAGACAGCGTTTTGTGCCGTTGAACTCGCCACGCAAACGCCTTAAACTCGTTCACCTGGGCTGGCCAGCTGGAAGGGGGGGTAGTGGGGTCTGTTGCGTGGCACACGATCAATGATCCAAAACAAGAAACAATTATCGACCACATTTGGTTATGTAATCCATTTGGCACTCGCCTGCGATCGCATATGTGAGAATATGTTTGTCGAAATCGCATTGGAGCTGACCCACAAATGAGTTCGTGTTGTTGCTTGGCCCGACCTTTTGTGGCAAGCGAACTATAAACTGCATTTTGTCAGGCATTGCTCGAATGCCTTTGTTTTTGCATACTATATTCGCACTTCTTTGTTCAATGGGGAATGCCCAAAAATAACTAGAAATACATATATATGCGCTTATTTGGCATACTTGAAATACATTTCAAATACGCAAAGTTCTTCGATTCAGTTCTAGATATTTCATTAGATATACAAGATCGAAAGGGTACAAAACTTTCTAATTGAACTTTCTTTGTAAACTTTCGTATTGTTCAATTTCATATATTCTTCTTTTTTTAAGATTTTTTCAAGATTCTCTTTAAAGGCAATAAGATTTCTTTTAAAAGAAATCTAATCGCAAAGGCTACAACACTTGCTTTGTAAACTTTCCAACTGTTCAATTTCGTATTTTCTTCTTATTTTAAGAATTCTCTCAAGATTCTCTCTAAACGCAATCTTATATTAAGCGCATTTATATTAGTTGTAGGCTTTATCAGATATCATTCATAAGATATCCGATCAAAAGGCTACAATACTTTTTTTATAAACTTTCCAACTGTTCAACTTTGCGTTTTCTTCTTTTTTTAAGATTATTTTCAAGATTCCCTTGTCTTATCTTTAGTGCATATTTATCAGCTGGGGGCCTTATTAACATGTTTCTTGCAGTATAAACAACTTGCAATTAAAACTTTCCGATGTTTTGCATTTCTGTCCAATCGATCGTTGCGTCTTATCAAAGTACACACACACACACACGCACACACACTTCGCAGCTATTGTTTGCTTCTTATTATCTAGCCAGGAGCGCCCTCTGATGTGGCCCCACATTCATTAAATTTCGCTGTCTCAAAGTGCAAACAATTGTGATTGCAAATCAGAAGAAAACTGCAAAATTCAGAAGCAAATTTTGCACTATGTCGCACATCCATATATACACATAGATATATACCCGATATATACCTTTATATGTATCAGGTGTTGTCTAACAATGAGAAGCTAAATGCGCCACAATTAAGCTAATGGGAGTTGTGATGAAATTGTCGTCAGCTTAATATGCAATTTTATGGGTAAGGAAATGAACGAAGCGTTTTATAAGTTATATAAGCTAAATGCATTGTTAGTCAGCGCAGTATCTTTCAGATACATTTAGTAAACAGCTCAGCTCGGACTTTTTAGTGTCCAGAATAACTGATAAGCTATTCTGGGAGCGGCAGCAGCTGCACCTTGCCTCTGGCATCATAAAGCCAAGGAATCCAGCGTGTGTGATAGTATTCTAATCTTTGCATATATAGTATATATATATAGTATATAGAGTGTACCTCCCGTGAAGAGCGATACGCACCAAATGCCATCCAATTTTTATGCTTCTACTTGAGCTGGCAGTAAAAGTTGAGAATAATACTTGGACAGATTAGATAAGTTAGCAGCAGCGAATACTTTGAACTCGACCAAAGAGAGGAGAAACAAAGTGCAGCTATATTCGTATATGTGCAAATGTTTAAATAGGGTATATAGGGTATATAGTTTATCTGGGATTACCTGTAATCTTTGCACTTTCAAGCGATAAAAGCAGCCATTTTTCTGATTTTTAAATGCGGCAACAATTGCTCTTCTTTGCAGGAATGTCCGGGCGTAGTTACGACGGGCAGCGGTGCACCCATTGGCATCAAGGATGCGACGCTATCGGTGGGTCCACGCGGACCATTGCTGCTGCAGGATGTCAACTTCCTGGACGAGATGGCGCACTTTGATCGCGAACGCATCCCGGAGCGTGTGGTGCATGCGAAGGGCGGCGGTGCCTTTGGTTACTTTGAGGTCACCCACGACATAACCAAGTACTGTGCCGCCAAGATCTTTGAGAAGGTCAAGAAGCGCACTCCGCTGGCCGTTCGCTTCTCGACGGTGGGCGGCGAGAGCGGCTCGGCGGATACGGCGCGTGATCCGCGCGGATTTGCCGTTAAGTTCTATACGGACGATGGCGTTTGGGATCTGGTGGGCAACAATACGCCCATTTTCTTTATTCGTGATCCCATACTGTTCCCTAGCTTCATACACACGCAGAAGCGTAATCCGCAAACGCATCTGAAGGATGCGGACATGTTCTGGGACTTCCTGACACTGCGTCCCGAGTCCACGCATCAGGTGTCCTTCTTGTTCAGCGATCGCGGCACACCTGACGGCTTCTGCCACATGAACGGCTATGGCTCGCACACCTTTAAGCTGGTCAATGCCAAGGGCGAGCCCGTCTACGCCAAGTTCCATTTCAAAACGGATCAGGGCATCAAGAACCTGGATGTGAAGACCGCAGCCGATCTGGCATCGAGTGATCCGGACTATAGCATACGTGATCTGTACAATCGCATCAAGAATTGCAAGTTCCCCAGCTGGACACTGAAAATACAGGTGATGACCTTCGACGAGGCCAAGAAGTTCAAGTACAATCCGTTTGATGTGACCAAGGTCTGGTCGCACAAGGAATTCCCATTGATACCAGTGGGCAAAATGGTGCTCGATCGCAATCCGAAGAACTACTTTGCCGAGGTCGAGCAGATTGCGTTCAGTCCGGCGCACTTGGTGCCCGGCATTGAGCCATCTCCGGACAAGATGCTGCAGGGTCGCCTCTTCTCGTACTCGGACACGCATCGTCATCGTTTGGGACCAAACTATCTGCAAATTCCAGTCAATTGCCCCTATCGCGTTAAGGTCAGCAATTACCAACGCGATGGCTTCATGAATGTCACCGACAACCAGGACGGAGCTCCCAACTATTTCCCCAATTCCTTCAACGGTCCACAGGAGGATCCACGCGTTCGCGCCCTATCCACCTGTTGCCCGGTGACCGGCGATGTCTATCGCTACAGCAGCGGCGATACGGAGGATAATTACGGCCAGGTGACCGATTTCTGGGTGCATGTGCTCGACAACTGCGCCAAGAAGCGTCTCGTGCAGAACATTGCCGATAATCTGAGCAATGCCAGTCAGTTCATACAGGAGCGTGCGGTTAAAAATTTCACGCTGGTCCATGCCGATTTTGGACGCATGCTCACCGAGGCACTCAACCTGATCAAATCGTCCAAGTTTTAGATATTCCAGCCCAGTGGGTTTCGCTTAATTTGCACAGAGTACAGCTTATCGCACTTTATATCCAACTACCCACTGAACATGCTGTCAGTTCTTTGGTTGCGGGCAATTTCTTGTGGTACTTCAATGCTATTTTTCCCCTGCGTGTGCCTTGTTTTAAAATGCTAAACTTAGCAATAAAGAAAACGTATAATTGTAACGAATCGTAATAAATCTTAATATTTTGATATAAAATAACTCCCTTGCGTTTTGTTTGATTTCAGTTCACAAAACTTATGCTTAGAACTGCCTGAGATCTATTGAAATACTCACATATGATCCTTGACTTCCTTTCTACCCAGATTCCATCCAAGCGCCAAGACATCCAATCTCATACATTCTTATTAGAAGTCTTTCTGGCAGTTTGTTCTATTCTCACACTCAGCTGCTTCGAGGGATTTGGTCCACTGACGAGCTACTGCTTTTGGTTTTGAGCATATATATGTATGAAGCAGAAGAAATCTCCGAGCCCTTATAATTTATACGTTCTTGATCAAGACGCAGGACTGAGTTGATCTAGCAATGTCATTCGGAAATAACAAACCCTATTAGACTGGAAATTAGAAATATGTATTCTAACTACCAAAACGCAGAAGGAGCTTACCTCTCTTGTACGCTCTCTAGTTCCATATTCATCATATCGATAAGAATCGAATTCCAATTCAAGACTGTTTTTTTTTTAAGACTAACTTAAGTATTATAACTAGATAGAACAATCTTGGTATGCAGACATATGATATAATAGACTGAAGTCAACCCCTTATTGACCTTATATATATAAAGGCAAAGAAAGGCTTACAAGAACTTTGAATTTGGTTAAAGTATCATAAAGAAATCTTTACAGTCGAGCAATAGTTCTTATGGCAGAGATTCAACACGGTCGACTTGACAATTGTTGAAAATGTAAATCATGTTAATCAAGGGTGACGTTTAACAATTTCTAAGAATTTTACAATTCTCAACAATATTATAACAAATGTAACAATCATAATTTAGTTACTTTTTGTTGCCATAAAAATGTGTGATAGTTTTTACATTTTGAGCTTTTATTTGACTTTACAACTATAAAACATTAATCGTTTGCAAATTTACAAATTATCCATAAAACTTATAACTTATGCTATTTGTGTGCTAACTTTCGTACGCATTCAAATATTGAGTAATTTTCTTTTGTTTTCACAAGTTCCGTCTAAATTTAAACAAAAATTACATATGCAAAAAAGAAATTTAAACACTTTCCGTCAGTCTAGTTGCTAAAAAGAGTATAAAAATACAATTCAATGCCTGTTTCTTTCTTCTTGATGCATATTATACACAAAAAATATATAACATTTGATTTTCGCTAAATGCAATAATTAAGTAACACATATTCTTTTCTTTTCTTTTTTTTGTTAATTTTTTGATGCAACTGTTAAGGCTATTAGTAAATGCGCTTGTATGCTGAAAGTTCGTTCCGTTTTCTAATTATTGTTAACTTTTGACATACTCAGGTGTCGCTAATTTTCTACACAGAATTTTCTCAAAAATTGTGTCACAGAGAAACAGTCATTGCTTGTGGACTGAAGTTTCGTGTTTGAGTTTGTTTGTAAATTCGTTTAAAAAATGTAACTGTTTTTTACTAATTGTTTTTTTTTCGTTCAACTTTATACTTAATTGTGTTGTAGAGCATAAGAACATTTAAGCAAAGGCACTTGTGTTTCTTTGTACAGTTGCCTCACGGCGCTACTCGCGGGGCTTGTGTCCACTTTTAGACCAGAAAGTTAACTAACTAATTAGAGGGTTTTGTTAAAGGCCAGATCAGTCAACAGGCGTGTGCCATTGACAGCCATCTGGGCCAACGGTTGCGTGCTATTGGCAATAATGTTGCCCACCAGATTCGAGCTGCTGGTAGACAAATCCGTTAACAGCTCGGTATTGTTTGCCAATAGACGTGTCGCATTTGCGGCCAGCTCAATAATACGCGTCTTATTGGCGGCTACCTCGGCCAGCAGACGGCTCTTGTTGGCCGCTTCCTCGGCGGCGATTTGTGCCCACTCCGGAAACGTGTCCAGGTTTGGGTAAATAACCATGCCCCAGGTTTGACAGAAAATGAAGAGCACAATGATAGTTATAATCGTTGGTCCAATGCCCGCAATAGCCATGTCCTTGCTGCGAATGTGCGCATAGCCAGCAACCAGGGCATTTGGCGGCGTGCTCACCGGCAAATGGAAGGCCATGCTGCAGGCGAGACCTGCTGGGAAGACCAGGTACAGTGGATGGATCTTCAATGCCAGTGACTGTAATATATAAAACAAGATTAATAGTCATTTCTTCGATTTTATAGCCATGTCCACGCACCATTTCATTGAGCACAGGCACGAGAATATTGGCGACAGCCACATTCGAGCTGAAGGCTGTCAGGAATACCGCCACCAGAATGACCACCAACAACAGGGCTGGATGTGGCAGCACCTTCAGACCGCTCATCGAGCTGCCAATCAAGGTGGCCATGCCACTCTGTTTGCTGCCCGCAGCCAGGGCGAAGCCGCCGCCAAGCAGGAATATCAGACCCCATGGAACCCTCGACTGAATGAACTTCCAGGTAATCAGCGATGGTGTCGGCGCCGTTGGCACCGGTCCACGTCGTGTGCAATAGCGCAGGAATGCATAGTTGGCGGGCAGCATGAAGCACATGATCACCACAAATATGGTTGGCATGGAGTTCTTGATCACCCTGAAAGTATACACCAAAAGTTAGTAGCTGTTAATAAATATTTGCCAAAAGATAACAGCTATTCTCCGGGTGCCGCAGACTAAATAACCTGACTTTATGGCAACTATATGATACAGAGCAACAAGGCTTTTACGTTTGATTAAAAGAATCGTATCCTGTTGATCCAAATTACATTTTTATGTGAACCAAATGTTCTTATGGGAGCTATTTGGTTGTGCCCGAGAGCAGAGTGAGGAGTCGGATTCGAATCCGTGGCAAATGTGTGGACTGGCCTTAATTGTCAATCCCATTTAAAAAGCTATTTAATAAATTCGCCTTTTTATACTTTAGCCGCATTTAGGAGCAATTGCAAGAGAATTAGGTTCCCATCAGCTTCATAAAGCTGCTCTAAAAACGTTCTGCAAAGGTATTTGTTCTGCGGCAATTTGAAGAAACCTGCTGTGTTCCGTTCTGGCGTGTAATAGGATGCCTTCGCGTTTGCACTCACTTGGCAGGTAGCAGATCCGCCCAGCCTGTGAAGATGCCCGGTTTGCGTGTAAAGTACATGAAGACCATGATAATGAAAAGAATCATCACTTGAATCTCGTGCATATTCATGGGGCCCAGCTCTTTGTAGCGTTGATCGATCACTTTCTTGGCCACGTGAGCATTGTCCTTGCCCACCTGCACCTCCTGGGCCTCCTTGCTCTTTGGCCGCCAGAGACCCATGAAATGCCATTGCAGGAAAACGTAGGTGAGAACCGTGTAAACCAACATCGAGGGCACCGAATAGAACATGAATGTGGGGAAATCCAGTTTCTCAGTGGCATTGGGGAATGCCGTGTCGTAGATGCCCTTGAAGGTTAGATTTGTGGCAGTGCCAATTATGGTGCCACAGCCGCCCAAAGACGAGGCATAGGCAATGCCCAGGTAGTAGCATTGCGTGACTTTTGTGGGATACGGCAGCCTGTCGAATTGGACGATATGTAAGTAATTGGTTTGCAAACTGTTTTCTAGCTAAACATACTCATCCTCACTCTTCTTCTTGTTCTTTCCGCCGACCATTTGATACTCTGGCTCATGGTAGATTTTGCAGACACCTTGCTATTAAATAAAGTGCACGATTAACAAGTGTTCTTATAGAAAAGTCGAGAATTTCGCACACTCACCGCTTGCAATTCTTCCAGGACCGCTTGGACAATCGGACTCATCATAGCCGTGCAGGCGGCATTTGAAATCCACATGGATATAAACATTGTCACCATAATCAGGCCAAAGTGTAATCTAGAAATTAAATGAATCTAGTCAGCTTTAGTTGTAGAGCAGCTGACAGTGCTAGCGCTGACCTTCTGGGACTGCAGCCCACCATTTGGATTACTCTCAGCGCCAGACGCTTGTGCAGGCCGCTGTACTCAATGGCCAGGGCGACCATGATGCCGCCCATGAACATCACCAGCGTGTCCTTGAAGTATGTCATGCAGGTCTCTTCGGAGCCCTAAAAAGCGAGCTGTCAGTTAAAACTTGGCTTATGCGATGATAACAAGTGCTATTAATTACCATAATTCCCATTGTGGGAAACGCAACAATTGGTATCATTGATGTAACATAAAGAGGCAGCGCTTCTGTGACCCAGAATACGGCCATTATCAATAATATGTACATGCAACGGTATTCCTGTAAAGATAAGGTTTAAGGGATTATGTTTATTAGAGACATTTACAGCTTGGCCAAGCTACTTACCGGAATATTGTTCATTAATATTATGGGCAGGCATAATAGAGGCATTAAGAATACAACGCATCCTTTCCAGTGATTCGCGAAGAAGGAGCTCCAGCGGGCTTGCGGTTCTACGGGGTCTGCTGCTTCGCTGCAAATTAAATATAGGTTAAGATATATTCCAATTGATAAATGTAAGTGGAAAGTAGATTCTTTTCACGTGTGAAACAAAAACTAAGGTACTTACAGTTCCATTTTAAAAACGGGCTCAATCTGTAAATAAATAGAATAAGAAAAAAACGGATTAGAAGAAGTTGCAGGACAATTGGGCTATAACCGAATCTAGGCCCGCGAAAATGTGCCACTCGTTAATTGTTGCCATGTATCCATTTTGAGTTATATTTTTTTTCAATTATTATCGTTTATACTTCGTTAAAATTCCATACACTCATATAAGGCAGAATGGTCGGAAATCAATTGAATATTAGCCCGTTCGATACTTAAATTGGATTGTTTACAGAATACATCAAAAAATAGGCCAAACTTGGCGACTTTTATGTACCCTCTTTTTAAATAGTTAGTCTTTAAAAAAGTTCCTGTTTCGTGCTAATACTTGGTCTAAAAATATGCTTGAAGCTTGTTTAAAGAAAAATCTAACATAACATTGATTAGCATAACTCAGATTTTCTTTAGAATGAAGTTAGAGTTCTTTACGCTTTTATAACTATATATCTATTGGGTCAAATTGATGGGGTCATCAGCGATAAGTACTTTGCAATACATTCATATA